AGGCCACTTAGGGGAAGAGCAACACATTCTTTCTGTTTCCTCTACCCTGTAATTCTGTAAAGTAAAATTTCACATACCTGTCCTAGAAAGAGGAAAAGGGAACTAGTAATTCTAAATTACCATGGAACTTTGATTAAATTCTGTCTTTTCCTGAAGGCAAACTTGGGGCATTTGAGAAGGTGAAGGGGTCCATTGATCATCTGTTCTCTTGTGCTTCTCTGGTGCTGTGGATGAGATAATGAGAAGCCCTCCAGAGACTCCAGGTGAGAGCTACACTTGGAAAATACAAAGGGCAGGGCCTCTGTCCTGTAACTGAGCGTGGCCTCTGGATGGTGAGTAAGTAACCAGAGGAAGACACTTGGTGCCCTTTGTAATAGTCACAGCCACTTTGTTCCATGCCTCACGGGAAAGAACAGAATGCCTGATTATAATAATCTTCTAATAATTACAATATTTTGCATTCATTTTCTTTTAAAAATCTATTTGAGTAACTCCTTAGCCTTCAGAAGATGCTGGAAAGTAGTATTTAGGCAGCAGCTGGCAGCTCCCAGTGTTGGAGTCGGCGCGGTGCTCGGCTCGTGAAGATTTCATTAGCCGGACATACGTTCCAATTTCCTTCTTGCTGCACGAGTACATTCTCCTGAGCAGCTGTTTTGGAAAGGGATGTACAATAAACACTTCTGCACTTGTTTTAAATATGTGGGTTTTGTTAGAGCGTCGCTTGCCATCTGGGAGAGGAGTGAGTGACTTCTTGAGAGGAAGGGTTTGGAATCTCCACGTGTGTTCCTAGTGCAATTTGAGGTTCCCTCTTCATTTCACTCACTGAGAGGGTGTAATCGGTGGCTCCAGTCATTTTGTTTTGTAAGAGCCTTAGCCAGTGAGTTGCATGGATTAAAAGGATTAATAGAAATGGACCTCACCAGTGGTTGTTTCCATTTTTAAAGCAAATGTACAAAGAAAATATATGATGTTGTCAACAAGTCAGAGAAAAATACAGATATGCATAGAATAAATTGTGAAAGTCTTCCCCTCAATCCACAGCGCCCGTGGGTAACCCCATCAGCAGTAAGTTGTCATGTTCTTCCCTCTTTTTTTCCTGCTGTGTTCTGTCTAATAACTAGCTGTCCAAGTGATTTGTGAGTATAATTTTTTATTCTAGTAGTGACTCGTGGTTGGGTACATACTAGCAGTCACACACTGGTTCTCTTGGGGTGGCAGGGGCATGAGGGACCTGGTGGGTGGGGTTTGAGCCGATGAAAACCCTTCTGAAGCAGGACAACTGGCCGGGAAGGCTTGCTGTCCAGGTGTTATCGGAATCACAACTACTGCCTCACGGTGGGAGTTTCCCATGTCCAGGGCATTCAGTGTTGCACATGTATATCACCCACTGTACTCTCGTGGCAACCCTGGGAGGTACACACTGTGACCCCCATTTTACAGATGTGGAAACCCAAGCACAGAGAAGTTAGCAACTTCTCCAACATCCTGCAGCTTAATAAGAGATTGCAGTTTCGGCAGTTTGGCTCCAGAATCATGTTCTGACGATGCTGTGCCATCTTTTAGGAGCACAACTCTCTTCTCTGGAAGCTGTTATATTTAAGTCATACCTTTTTGGCCCCCAAATCAGGTAAATGGAAATTATAGATCTGTTAATGACTTAAATACCGGGTAATAGATGTTATACAATTGATTGAATGTATAGCTTGAAACAGTGTCGCTGCCGCCAGCCTGCCTGGGACAATCCTTCTTGTGGTTTTGCTTTCTTAAAGTAAATGTTTTCCCTGTGAATCTTCTGAACTGTTTTATTCTTGGTGTCTTTCTTTGGGGCCAGCATGCTTTCTGGCTTTTGCTCCTGCTGAGTAGGCAGACATATCTGGAGAAAGCCATGGAGTAAAGGAAAAGAAAAGCTTTGCCATTTAAAATTGATTTATGTGGAAGCTCTTTCTGTGGTTGAAAAAAAGTAAAGCAAAACACTGCTTTCTATATCACCAGTTCCCGGCAACAGTAAGCCAAAGCTCCCTGTGTTTAGAAGCAGGCATGGGTGCGTGGAAACTGCTCAGAACACGGAGGTCAATGCCGTTATAATTCAGTGACTTCCATGGGAAGCTATGAGCAAAGGGTTCTTGTGCAGATCTAAAATTTGGAACCAAACACCCTAAAGATGGCCAAACTGACAAAGTATGTATCTTAGTGTCTTGGTCTGTTTGTGTTGCCCTTAAAGGAATTCCAGAGAATGGGCAATTTATTTATTTATCTTTGAGATGGGGTCTGTCGCCCAGGCTGCTGTGCTGTGGCTTGATCACGGCTCACCACAGCCTTAACCTCCTGGGCTCAGGTGATCCTTCTACCTCAGTATCCCGAGTAGCTGGCACTACAAGCGTGCACCATCATACCCTGCTAATTTTTGTATTTTTTGTAGAGATGGGTGTTTGCCATGTTGCCAGGGCTGGTCTGAAACTCCTGGGCTCAGGCATTCTGCTGGCCTCAGCCTCCCAAAGTGCTGGGATTATGGGTGTGAGCCACCGTATCTGGCCTGACACTGGGTAACTCCTTTTTTTTTTTTTCTGGGTGACAGAAATCTTGCTCTGTCACCGACGCTGGAGTGCAGTGGCATGATCTCAGCTCACTGCATCCTCTGCCTCCCGGATTCAAGCTATTCTCCTGCCTCAGCCTCCTGAGTAGCTGAGATTACAGGCACCTGCTACCATGCCCAGCTAATTTTTGTATTTTTGGTACAAATGGGGTTTCATCATGTTGGCCAGGCTGGTATCAAACTCCTAATCTCAAATGATCCCCCAATCTCAGTCTTCCAAAGTGCTGGGATTATAGGTGCAAGCCACTGGTCCTGGCCTGAAACTGGGTAACTTTTAAGGAAAAAAGATTAATTTGGTTCGTGATTCTGCAGGCTGTACGAGAAGCATGGCACCCACATCTGTTACCAGTGAGGGCCTCAGGCTGCTTCGACTCCTGGCAGAAGGCTGAGGGGACTGGTATGGCAGAGGTCACATGGCGAGAAGGAAAGCGGGAGAGAGCCGGGAGAAGGGCCAGGCTCCTTTTAACAGCCACCTCCCATGGCGACTAACAGTGAGAATTAACTCCCCATCCCCAAGAGAATCAGTCTCTTCACAAGGGATCTGCCCCCGTGACCCAAACACCTCCCATCAGGCCCCAGCACTTGAGATCAAATTTCAACATGATATTTGGAGGGGAAGATATCCAAAGTATATATGGCATGGAGTAATCCGTTTTGAGAGATGCACCTCTTAATCTCTGACAATTAGTAGTTAAATAGACAATATGATATTTTTGGGGGCATCTTTTGAACTGTGATTGTGTGCACGCACAGGCACACATGCATGGGTGTGCACTTAATTATAACATCAGCAACATTTGTAATGGCAATTCATGTTAGAGTACCTCATACACAGGTTGACTGTACGGTTGACCACACTTTAGCAGATCCTTTCTTTCTTAGCTCTTCTGTCCTCCTACCCGACCAGACGGTTGACATTGTGAAAACACAGACATTAGGATTTCAAGAACAGAGTATGTAAAAATGGTGAAATGCTTTCTCAGTTCTTTTTCATAATTTCTAAACTAGAAAAAGTCAAGAATTCAAGGTTGCTAATCTAAATTCTTATGTTGGAGTAGTCATTTGTGAAGGGTGATAGGACAGAATATCATTGTTAGTTACAACAGCAAAGGTTAATTACCTAGTTTTCCTCTGTAAATTATTTAATTCTCAGAATGTTCTCCAACATTACAAAGACTTAAAAAGCAAAGGTGGGGGTCTGGGCACAGTGATTCACGCCTGTAATCGCAGCACTTTGGGAGGCCGAGGTGGGTGGATCACAAGGTCAAGAGATCAAGACCATCCTGGCTAACATGGTGAAACTGTGTCCCTACTAAAAATACAACAGTTAGCTGGGTGTGGTGGCATATGCCTGTAGTCCCAGCTACTTGGGAGGCTGAGACAGGAGAATCGCTTGAACCCTGGAGGTGGAGGTTGCAGTGAGCTGAGATCGCGCCACTGCACTCCAGCCTGGTGACAGCAAGACTTCGTCTCAAAAAAAGGAAAAAAGCCGAATTTTGAGAATGTGCTCCATGCACAGATGCTATTGTTGTGCCCCCTGAGATTTTGCTTCAGCACTTGCGACGTGTTATCAGAACGTCGAAGGGCAGCAATGATGTGTAACAGTTTTATTAAGATATAATTCATGTACTACAAAATTTACCCACTTAGAGTGTGTGATTCTTTTCTTTTTGTATCTTCACAGAGTTGTGCAACCATCACCGCAAATGTACTAATTTTAGCACATTTTTATCCTACAAAAAAGAAACCCTGCATCCATAGTAGTCACTTCTCATTTTCCCTTTCCGGCCCCTGGGAACTGCTAACCTGTAGTCTGTCTCTGTAGAGTTGCCTAGTCTAGGCATTTTATTAATGAACGTGACTAACTTTTTTTGTGACTAACTTTACCTTCACATAATGTTACAAGATTTGTCCATGGTATAGACTGAATCAATACATCATTCCTTTTTTATGACTGACTAATATTCCATTGAATGGATATACCACATTTTGTTCATCCTTTTTGCATTTGAGGAACATTGACTTGTTTCCATAGAATAAGCCTGCTAGAAATTCCTCTACAAGGCTTTGTGTGGACATGAGTCTTAATTTCTGTTAGATATATACCTAAGAGTGGACCTGCTAGGTCCTATGATAATTCTGTTTTATTTTTTGAGGAGCTGCAAAGGCAGCAGTTTAGCACTCTGATTTATTAATTTTTCAGTACAAGCCATTATCTAATAACCAGGAACTTGTTCAACTTTAATCTGTCATAAGATCCAGCTAGAAGTTGCAAACTTCTCAAGTACCTACAAGAGAAATTTTGTTATGTACGTCTGTGAGATCACAATGACTGTCCTATCTCTCTTTTTTCCCCATTTTTTATATTAAAAATTTATTGCAAAATATACTAACACAAAATGTACCATTTTAATCATTTAAATTTTTTTAAGAAGCACACTGCAGTAGTTAATTTTATTTGTTCAAGAACTCGTTGCAAGCATTAAACCAAGCATAGGCTTTGATTCTGTGAGCCCAAATTCACTTACTGAAGATTAGAGCAAACTGAGATTCACGTACATGGATGAAAACTAAAGGCTCAGAGTTAATCACATTGTAGTTTTTAAACTTCTACAGCCTAGGGCTCAGTAGTCCCAGGTCTTTTAGGTCCTCTGGATGTCCCACAGGGAATCTGCACTTTTCTTGAGCTGAGCAACCTCATCATCCTTGAGCTTCTGGTTGATAACACTAGTTAATCCCTGGGCACTGAGGATACACAGAAGGCTCAGGAAGACTTCATTCTTGATGCCATACATCCCCTTTACCGTTGTTGACAGGGGATGAATCCTGGACAGATTTTTCAACATGGAGTCAATAAGATCAGCCACACTTAATCCAGTAGCCCAGTTGGCATATCCTTTTAGCTTGATGACTTCATAGGCACTTTCAACCACCATCTTATGCACTTCATTCCAATTTTCACTATCATTGTCAGTTCCCATTTCTGGATTCAATTCCTGAAGAGGAACACCTGCCACATTCACGCCACTCCACACAGCCACACTTGAGTCTCCATGTTCCCCCAAAATCCATCCATCGCAGCTGCTGGGATGAATGCCAAGTTTTTCAGCCCCAAGGTAGCGAAATCTAGCAGAATCCAGATTACATCCACTTCCAATCACACGTGTTTGGGTAATCCACTCAGTTTCCAGGTAACATATGTAAGAATGTCCACTGGGTTGGAAACCACAATTATGATGCAATCAGGACTACTTGACGATCTGAGGAATAATGAATTTAAAGACATTACCATTCTCTGTACCAGATTGAGACAACTCTCCCCCTCTTGCTGACAGACTCCTGCAGTTACCACTACAGTTTTAGAATTGGCGGTCACGGAATAATCTTTATCTGCCACAATTTTGGACGTCTGAAGAAATAAGCTCCCATGCTGCAGATCCATCATTTCTCCTTTAAGTTTATCTTCCAAAACATCCACAAGAGCAGGTTCATCAGCCAGAGACTTTCCCAGATGCTGATAGCACATGTCATACCAACTTGTCCAGCACCCACTGCCATGATCCTATTGTTTGGGACTGTTGCCTCCTCTTCTGCAACTGGTGCAATGAGTTTTTCCTTAAGAGTCGCCATTTTGCACAGGAGAGAGAAGGCTCTGGAGACGGCAGAAACAGTGGTGCGGAGAAGACAATGTCAGCTGCCTGCGTCTCCTCCGGTGCCGGATCCACAAGCCGTTTAAATTTTTATTGTAGTAAAATACATATAGCATAAAATTTATCACTTTAACTGTTTTTACACTTGATCTTAGTCAAAAGGCAAAGAAACAGTTTAATCGTGTTAAAGTGTGCAGTTCACTGGCGTGAGGCATATTCACAGTGTTGTGTACTTGTCACCACAGTCCATTTCCAGAACTTTTTCATCATCCCAAGGAGAAACTCTGTACCTGTTAAATACTAACTTCCCATTCTCTCTGAGTTAGCCTGTTTTAAGTGCCTCAAATAAGTGTAATTGTATGATATTTGTCCTTTTGTTTCTGGCTTATTTAACTTAGCATAATGTTTTCAAGGTATCCATGTTGTAATACATATCAAGAGTTTCTTTCCTTTTTTAAGACTGAATAATATTCCATTCTATAGATACATACTACATTTTGTTTGTTGATTTCTAGCTTCAGTGCATCCTGGTGGCAGAATATACTGTTACAGTCTTGCCAAAGCATCGCAATGTAGCAGTCTTTTATTGTGAGGTAGCACCTGAAGTTCTTTGTCTCATGACTAAGAAAATTAAGGAGCATGGACAGGAAGTGTAAGCTTGGAGCACAAGTTTAAAAGTTTAATAAGCAAAGGAAGAAAGCTCTCTACCTCAGAGAGAGGGCCTGGAAGAGGGTTGCCAATTATGAGACTGGGTCTGGGGGTTTTTATGGACTGGGAAGAGAAGAAATGTGCTGACTGGTCTTGGAGAAAGCCTACTCAGCTTGGCCTGGGACCAGTCGGGAGCTGAAGTGAAAGCTTGGACCAGGACCTTGTCCTGGGACCACTCCAAGGTTGAAGTGATAATTCATAGAGGCTTGGCTCATAGTCCAAAGCATGTCCAAAAAAGGAAAGGAAAGTGCCCACCGGAACCCACCAGAGCCCACTGTGTACATGTCCACAAAAGAAGAAGAGACTATTTCCTGGAAGCCCACTGGTTATACAAAGAACAAAGGCATTTCTAGATTGGGTCTTGTTCCTTTATCTGAGTGGGCTGGAAGTTTGCGCAGGTTTCTGTATCTGTGCATGTATCCTGATTTTTCAGGCTGTTTCTCTGTTTAAAAGAATTTTGCCAAGGACCTATCCTAACTACCTAACTTTTCTTTATCAGTGCTTTGTGTGATTTCAGGTTTTTTAAATAGATTGAGACTTTATTTGTGGACAAGCATGGTCTCTGCCAGAGAGAAGAGACTTTAGAATAATGTGTGTTCTTCTGTTGTTTGATAAAATGTTCTGTATATGTCTGTTAGATCTAGTTGGTTTATGTGTTGTACAAATTCTCTTTTTCCTTCTGTCAAGTTCTTCTATCTATTATTGAATAGGATATATCGAAGTATGTTATGCTAGAGCTTTCTACTCACTTCAGTTATGTCTGTGTTTCCTGTATTTTGGGACTCTGTGTTTGGTGCATTTATGTTTATTATATTTCTGATTGACTTTTATCCTTTTATCAAATATAGTATCCTTCTTCTCAGCTTCAACAACATGTTGATATTAAGCATATTTAAGAAAGTTGCTTTGTAAAGTCTTTGTCTGGCCTTCTCAGGGACATGGTCTGTCAATTGATTTTGTTCCTTTGAATGGACTATTCTTTTTCCTTATATGCCCTTAGGGTTTTGTTGCTCTTGAAAATGGGATGTTTGAAAATTACAATGTTGTGTCTCTGGAGATCAGTCTCCTCTTTCACCAAGGTTTGCTTTTTTGTTGTTTTATGGTATTTCTTTTTTTGTCAAGTGACTTTTCTCAACTATTTTTATAGGGGTTATATTCCTTGTCTTATGTGGTCACTGAAGTCTCTGTTTCTTAGCTAATGTTCTGGTACTGTTTTTTCTGTTTGGTTTTTTGATTTCTTCTTTTAAGAGATGGGGTCTTGTGATGTCACCCAGGCTTGGCAGGAGCCACTGCACCTAACCTGGTAGTGTTTTGACAGATTTCCTGGAATGCCAGGGGCTAAAGCAAACAAACAAATACCTTTTTAGCCTTTGCAGATTGGCTCCTTGCTGGAGCCCTCCTTCAACAGACAGCCAGACTTGTGCCTAGCCTAGTATTTAGCCTGAGGTGAAAGAGCTTCAGGTCTTCTTGGGTTTTATTCTGAGCATATGTGTGGCTTTCTAATTTCCCCCTTATATATGGCCGCTTTTGATTGCCCTGATCTCCTAAGGCAGCTTTCTTCTCCTCTTTTCTTCCCAGGCCTCAGATGGTCTGTTGCATGTCTCATTTGTGTTCTTTGACCCCAGGTGTCTGTTTTTGTTTTTGAGCAGTGCCAACCACTTTTCCAGCCTGGATGACTTTTGAGCTAAGCATGAACTTTGTCAGTTCTTCAAGTATCCCTGACAGGTTGGAATGGAGTTACCAAAAATTTATGAGTAAATTCTACTTGTTCCTTTTGGAACCAGGACCAGGGTCCCATTCTTGGAATATGGGCTGCCATCACACTGGGAGGAGGTAGGGCAAAGGCAAGTAAGTGTGCCATAGAGCTTTCTTGCCCTTTGAAGTTCTCAGTTCAATGTTCATTTGGTTGCTATAAGCCTTTGACTGTTTTCCAGAGTTCTGTCAAAGATAGTTCTAAAAGTTGGTCCTTGTTTTTTGATGTTTTAGGTGCAGGGAGGTAGATGACCACTTGGAACTCCCTATTCTGACATTTTTTCGACATCTCCCAGTCAGCCTTGTTCTCTCGCAATAGTCCATTTCAAAACCCACTCGAAGCCTTTCCTTCTACCGCCCACACGCTACAGATAAGAGATGGCACCTTACTTGTCAGACCCTCTTCCTGTATCTCCTCAATTTCTGTTCTTCTGTTATAGTTTTTGGTATAGTTGTTAGCTGAATACTAGTGTTAGCATTTTCCCTATTAAATATTAGGTTAAGCCGGGTGTGGTGGCTCATGCCTGTAATCCCAGCACTTTGGGAGGCTGACGTGGGCGCATCACCTGAAGTCAGGGCGCATCACCTGAAGTCAGCCTGGCCAACATGGTAAAACCCCATCTCTGCAAACAATACACAAATTAGCTGGGCATGGTGGCACATGCCTGTAAATCCCAGCTATTTGGAGGCTGAGGCAGGAGAATCGCTTGAACTCGGGAGGTAGAGGTTGCAGTGAGCTGAGATCGCACCACTGCACTCCAGCCTGGTGAAAGGGCAAGACTCCGACTCCATTTATATACATATATGTAAAATCATTTACAAATATAGAAAGTTAGAGTTATTTGACAGGAAACATTAAACAGTGGTCATTGTACCTGGCTTTTTAAGAACTATGGTCCTTTTGTGTAACATTAGATATTACAAGACACAGTACATTCAGGAGAAGACAGGTTCTAGCATTGCATGTGAGCTAGAAATGATGATCTCAACAAGAGTTTCAGTCTCTTTGATGCAAGAGTGTCTTTCTGGTGTTCCTTAGCTACTTCTGTCTTTGATGAATCATTTGATACTGAATTTGGATTCACTGTTAATTTTTCTACAGTCTGAGAGTTAATACACTGCCTTTATTTTGAAGACTGGGGAAAACTAGAAAAAGAGTTGCTAACAAATTATAATTTTGGTTTCTGCTAATCAAATAAGGATGCTGATGCCCAAGAGAGTGTGCCATCTTCTCCATCTTCCCTTATTACCCTCACTTTGTGTGTCCAGGTTTAAACCGGAAACATCGTTTGGTTAAAATTCTCCCTAAAATCAAATAAAATACACCTGCACTTACTTCTTTGCTTAAAATAGTGGTAGCCAGCCGGACTCAGTGGCTCACACCTGTAATCCCAGCACTTTGGGAGGCTGAGGTGGGCAGATCACCTGAGGTCAGAAGTTTGAGACCAGCCTGGCCAACATGGTGAGACCCTGTCTCTACTAAAAATACCAAAATTAGCTGGGCATGGCGGTACCCACCTGTAATTCCAGCTGTGCGAGAGGCTGAGGCAGATGAATCATTTGAACCTGGGAGGTAGAGATTGCAGTGAGGCAAGATTACCCCACTGCTCCACCCCAGCCTGGGTGACAGAGCAAGATTGTCTCAAAAAAAAAATAGTGGTAGCCAGGGGAAAGGTTGGATTGCTTAGTGTTGACATGCTGCTTCAGGGAATTTTCTTGGATTCATGGTATATCTTAATCCTGTTGGTACTTCTGGTTCCTTGGTGTACTTACGCACACATTATCTCCTTTGAACCTCCTGTTAGTAAGGTGAAGTGGGAAGGTAGGCAGGTGGGATTACCTTTGTTTTACAGATTTGTAAGCAAAGCTTCAGTGCCATTGTTTCTTAATTAAATGATGGCATTGGCCTGGGAGACAGGTCTTAGGTGTCCAAGGCTAGAAGTGGTCTTGCTAATATTTCCCATCTGACAAATGGATATTGAGAAATAGTTACATGGTTAGAGAAGAACAGTGTAGTTAGGAATTAGTGGGTGGAAAAGGAAAGGGGGATCCTAAGAAAGACCCTCCCTATTGTGGCATGCATGTTTGTGTGCCTTTAGTTGTCTATGTAACTGTGTGTGTTTGTTGATTGGGTTTTGGCCATACACCTTATAATGTAATGCTTGTTTTTTGTTAGGTGCAAAGCCATATGTCTTTTAAAATAGGGATTTAAAACAAGAACCTCTTGAATTTTCACTTTATTTCATTTTTTTCACCTTTTTTCCCCGTTCAGATCTTTTATTTCCCCCACAGGAACCCATGGGGAGAAGACTTAGAATAACATAAATGCAGGGGCAGTCAAACTGAGGGGAAAGGGCTAATGACAGCCCTGAGTAAGTGCTGGGAAAAGAGCCTGGACCCCAGGGGTGGAGAAAAGGAAAAAGTCTAACGGGCACCTAAGTAATTGACCTCATTCCTAGCATGGCTGCTATGCCACACAATTACAGAGTTTGATATTGTAAAGGATCAGAGAACTATGGGCTCTGCTTGAGGCACTTTTAAACCTCACAGCTCTACCTGAATTGAAGCCGAAGCCTGAGGGATGATTGACTTCTGACTTGCTGGCGGTGAATAGGCAGACCCAGAAGGGAAGCAGGTAGAAAGTAGTGCTGGCCTGGCCCTGTTTATCTTCCCCACTGTAGGCAGGGGGGTTGTATGCTTCAAATCAGCATGAGAGCGGCTTCCCAAAACATGCTCAAATTACTGTTTGGAAGCATGTGTCTGGAACTTATAGCTGGGTTTAGGGATGGTTGTCTTTGTAATGTCTCTTTCTGCTTTTGGCCTGTGTGTATTTTCCAGTGAGGGCTGGGGCAGGGACCACAGAGAAGTCCAGAGAAAATTTAGAACAAGGTAAAGTACCAGCTCTTTAGCCCTGTAACTTAGACAGGACAAGCTACGGTACTCTTTGCTTTAGTTTGTCAACTGTAAAATGTGATAACAATAATACATTTACCTCAAAGGAAGAATAAATGAGTTCATGTGCTCCGACAGTTCCTAGCACAAAGTCGGTGCGGTAGAAAC